GAACGGAGACGTGACAATACACAAAATCCAAACTTACACGACATTTCACTTGTTTGTCAACAACAAAATAAACCCAGAGAATGTGATTACTTACATTGAAATATCTATTCATGCTTTCAAAACTGGCATTCCCTCATAAATAAAAAGAGGAATAATTTGTTTGTTTGTTTTGAAATTTCGAGTAAAGCTACACGAGGGATATCTGTGCTAGCTGTTCCTAATTTAGCAGTGAAAGACGAGAGGAAAAACAGCTAGTCATCACTAACCACCTACAACTCTTGGTCTTGTCTTTTACCAACGAATAGTGGGATTGACCGTTACATTATAACGAAAAGGCGAGCATGTTTAGTAGGATAGAGATTCGAACCCGCGACCCTCAGATTGTGAGTCGAGCACCCTTACCACCTGGCCATGCCAGGTCAAAAATGAAGAAAGAAAAAAAGGAAACTGTATATCCTAAGATATGATCGAACCTGCAACGTAACCAAGCTGCTACATTTTAGGTTTTGTTGCATACAAAACACGTGTTTCTAAACAGGAACCTCATCAGTTGCATGACGTGGCTTTGTTTTGAGAAAAATCCGAAAATCAGCCTCTTCCGAAACAGTAGGTAGTAGCAGGTATACAAGAAATATATTCTACCATTAGCTAATATAGGGTTTGACAAAACCAGTGACATTGAATGCACACTTTAGGTAGCACCTCAGGTATTGTTATGACGGGTTTTTTTTCGTTGGTGATTCTTTGAATTATCAAGTGAAAAAAATTCAACGCCCAATCCACGTAATAATCGCAGATTAGCTTGTTTCCTCCTTAATGTTACTACAAACTTAAATACTTACATAATATCGTAAATTGTTGTAGGCCTACGTCACAAGTGACAATAAATAACATAAATTAATTCAACGTAACTGAATAGATGCAATAGCAAACACAGATCCAAAGGCTTCACGAAAACACATTGGTTGATTCAATTTTCTTTCTATCTTGAAAATATACACATTTCACAACTACCTAGTATTTATAATCTAGTTTGGAAGATATTATAAAAATCTGACAACAATATCATCAAAACTTGCTACGTGTTCTGTGCCCTCTAGCTAGCAAATTACAGCATTAAAAATATAGCTTGCAATACTGTCTGCTTCCTGGATTGTGAAGTCCCTTGAGCATTCTTAATAAAAGACTACACTAAATTATCCATTCAACAATCTTTTTGGTTGTATTCTCTTTCAAAGCCTGTAGTATATGGATGGGAGTGCATCTTGTCCCTTGTTGTCACTGGCCATCCTGTTAATGCGGGAGTTTTTGCTAAATAGGTGGTCTGATGAGTCCATTTAAAGTTCCAACTTTGATCATCCTCTAGGGATAGTCTCGACAGAAAAATCAGGCTCCTTTACAAGTTTAAATCCTGCTAACAAGTTGTTCTCTGGAGTTACCAAATGCCATTCTCTCGCCAACATAATTCCAAAGATGGTCATGATGGATGACCTTTGGCTTGGATTGCCTCTCCTCAAAACATCTGTGTAACTTTAGAGTTTGTCCTCTTTCACAACAAGAACTTTTCAGCCATACCATGTCACATCCATGGAATCTAGTTTTATCAGCACTTACAGCATAACTACCTTGCACTTTATCATAAGCCAGTTTACGTTTTTGTTTGTAAAGGCATGTATAACATCTTTATTCTTCACATACATGGGAGCTCTTCCAACCACCAGTCACTCATGAAAAGCTGGAGTATTTGATTCCACTATGCCCCAGACACTAGATGAAGAATTTTTCTTAACTCCTGATATGAGTATCTCACTTTTTGTTAAAACAATAACCATTGTCCCTACTTCCACTTGATGTTCAACCTCTGGTGCATTAATTGCCATGTAGTGCAGAGGGATTTACTGGTTATAGAATATGAAGCTATCTGAAGCTGGTTGGACCTCATATCCATGTTTCAGAATAAATTCAGTTCGCATTATATATTCAATGCCGATTACCCAAAATCATGAAAAGTAGAGAAGTTTCTTAAAGTAAAAATAACTTTTAACTTTTGTCAACTTGCTGTTCACATCACTCTCTCTTCTTTTATCATCTCTTGAGGCAATTTCTCATCTTTAATTAACAAGTTGGAATGAGTAGTTATAGCCATGGTACTATTTTTAATCAGCCTACTGAAAGGTTCTTCATCAATAAACCCTTGGACTAATTCCTTTAAATAATGAACTTCTCATCTCATTTGGGACAGATGGAGTATTTTCATCTGATCATAACTCAGAACTGTAAATAACTTTTGTTTTCCATAACTGATTAACCATTTGTTGCTCTATTGATATGGATAGGCTCAAAGGCTCATTCTTGCAGTCTCAGTTGTAATGGCAAGTTTTTCAAATGTATAAAAATACCATTTTCTGGTTTCCTCTTGGGGAAGAGTTATTTTTCCCTAAAGGTTTTTGTCTGCAGCTCTAGATAATATATCCTTTCAAGTTACACTTGAAACATTGATTGTTTTGCAATTTATTTTCTCCAGTCTGTGTAACTAGTTGCTAACTACTCCCTTTAGTTTTTCTAGTCTCTCATCAGAGAGAGTTGATATTTCAATATAACTTGATCTGATGATCCTGTAACTTATAAGTGGTATCTTTAGTTGTTTATCTGTGACATTGATATATTCTAATTCCATCATCGACTAAAGCGCTCCCTATAAAGATGTATCCTACTTTTCTTCAGCCTAATTCTCATATCCTTGTCTTTAGTATCATCTATATGTTGGCTATGTGCCAGTGAATCCACTCTTTCACGTGAAGTGTCTTGTTAAGATAATTGAGCAAGCCTTTTCAAAACTATTGCAATTTCAGCTAAGGTTTCTTCCTTTATCTGTACCCTGTTATGGAACTTTGCTCTGGATACCTCCTTCTGGAGTGTCACTCTAAACCTG